AGCGATTGACACATGGTCCCAGTGTCAGCTGAGTGACAGCTAGAAAAGCCTTTGGTTACCAAGCTTTTAGAGACACCAGAGCAAATGCTGTGCAATTATCCATGAAACCTACTACAGGAGCAAAATGTATGCAAAATGCCCTTGTGGTATAAGTCAGAGGAAGAAAAGAAAATTAATTAAAAAAGGATGACTTGGTCTCACACTGTTGGCCTTTGCAGCATTCTGGTGATCTAAAGGATGAACAAGGTACCCTTTAAGGCAACAGATAACTGTGTAATAAAGGTAAATGATCTGCTGATAGACCAGAATCAGAGATAAACTATACATATTTTCCATGCTAGCAATCCAGGAACAGAAAACTACTATCATCTAGCCTAGTAAGAAGGTTAATTTTCTCAGGATACACCATGAACTGTGCATCTGGACCAAGAATAAAGACTGCCCCAGAAATGAACAGCAGAAATATGTTGTGACACAGGTACAGGAGGGAGGCTTCTTTGTGGATGGTGTGCCTGAATTTCGTTTTCCTGGTAACTAAGGTACAGTGGACAAGAAATCACGTGTGCCCAGAAAACTCAGGTGTCTGAAGACCTGTCCTTCCTTTTGCCTCAGTACTCAAAGTGACAGGGGTGGTAGAACAGGAGAAGAAATCAGTCTTGCCAGCCACTCTGTTTTGTCCCCTGTGAAAACTCTTCAGCTACAGAGTGGTAGCCAAACCAAACGGGAAATTTAATTATTTTTTTATGTACTTTGGGGCACCAAACGAGAGCAAAGAGTTGACAGACTGTTGACATACCTGCCAAGTTTTCTCGGCAAAGTAGGTGGGTCACATTCATGGGTAAGCTGTTGCTGCATGTAGCTGCAAAAGAGCCTGCTCTTAGACCAGAGATCTGGTCAGATACATTACATAAGGTTGTTGCCCAAACTGGTGGTTTTAGCTTTCATACAGGTTAGTATTTTCTATTATTTCCCATAGTGTCTACTGGTCTCACAATTATGATATACGATCACAGCTTCTGTAATAGTTCCCCATTTTGCACCTTATCAAATGCTAATTCCCACAAGATTAGATCTACCACTGTTGGTTTTTTTTAGTCTGAAAAATCAGTTAAGATCATGAAGAAAGATGGAAGATTAGCCTGATTCTGTCCCATCTAATTATATTATTAACTTTACTTAAATATTTGTGGATACAAGCATAGAAGTCTTAGAGATCTATAGATGCTCAAGAAACTTTCACCATCTTAAATACTGTGTTTGTTATTCTCCAGCCATCTCATGCTATTCACAGCTACATTAAAAGCCTTTGAAACAAGACCTGCCCTTCATTTCTTTCAGTGTGCTACACTGAAGAATATCTAGTTCCCCCAGTCTAGACATATTCAAGTTCTTCCAATTTTAGGTCAACCTTGGTTAAGTTAATTTCCATTTTCATAATATTATTCCTTACTTATTTTGCCTTTTTTTTCTGTATTAAACAGCTTCCTTCTTGTTATTACCTCCCGCTTGATAAATCCTAGTAGGATATGGTGTTAGATTACATTATTGTAGAAATTCCTGATAATTATGCAGCCCTAAATTATGTTCTGAAAAATTTTATCTAAAATAATTTTTTAAGCTACCAGAAGAGGTGGGAAAAGATTTTGTTGCAAACAACGAAAAAGACAGAAGATCTTTTGCCTTGAGCATCACCTGTCAATACAACAAATTTCTCTGTGATTCAGGTAAGCGAAGCTGGGACTGCCAATGCCACAAGGAACTGCACCACTCAGCAAATATTTCACAACTGCAATAGTTCTCTTCTTAGGTTCTATCAGGTTCTCTTCTTCTTGCATCACTACATCAATGTATCAAATATCTTCATCTTCCTACAGCTCTCACATCGCAGAACTGTGCTCAATTCAGTACATTCTAGAAGACTCTAGGCAACGTGTTCACAATGTTCTTAGTTGCTTAGAATATAGCAGAGGGCTGTGGTCTTTGACTTGAAGAATTAGTATAGAATTATATAGTTATATGGAGAAATTAATCTTGTTACAACTTCATAGTTTCCAGTTTAGTTAAATAGAGTATATTCATACAGTTAAATACCTAATGTGAAGTCAGCACATTAATCCTATGGTGTACATGTATCTTATGCCATTGCTAAATTATACAATTAACAAAGAACCTCTCTTCTTTACATGTGTTGAAAACTGAAAACATCTTGAATATCACCCACAGCCTCCTTTCACAACACATTTTCAACACACATTTAAAATGTTTGATATGCCAGTTTGTGTTTCAATAGAGATTAGTAGAATCAACTGTGCTATATTACATTGCAGAGTTGATAACCTCAGAGGACTCATAAGTGCAAAAGTTTATCTTACCATAAAGCATATCAAGGAAAGAAATATCAGGTCATACTAAAATATTTAGTAACTGACTAAAAAAAAATACAAATACTTGATGGGTAAAAAATTGAAATCTAGGAAAAAAACTCCTCTCATAAAAAAAAGATCCACTTTGTTCATTTTGAGAATCTTCTTGTTAAAGAAATCTGTTCTTAACTAAGAATATAGTTGACTAGAAGAAAATCTAGGCATTGGTCTCTGGATAAGCAAAACAAAACCTACAGGAATTTGTTAAATCTGTGGGTTTATATCACTAAGATTTGAAGTCAGAAGTCAAAGATGGACATTTCATTCTTCAAAAAGGTAGAGCATGGACAAGAAAAAGCAACAGCAAATACCATGCCAAAAAGAGAGTGATGTCATCAAGCTGTCTAAGAAGGCTTGTAGGATTCTCCATGGAGCAGGACTGAATGCCAAGACTTAATGTATTTTGTATAACAATCTATGTCAACTCTCAAACAGAACTAAAAATCTAGTAAATAAACTGATTAGAAAGGGATTTGGCTTGGCAGTAATCCTATTGCACTGCTAGTAAAATAGAAATAAAAATATCTTACAGAGAAAAAGAAAAATCTTACCCAAGGTTTTAATTCGATCAGTGGCTGCTACACTTTAAAATAGTCAGGTTATGCTGCTACAGATGGTGTCCTGTTCAAAAGGAATCACAGTGTTCCACCATGACCAAATCTCTAAATTTTCTGGGAAGATACTGGTTTCGCTGTTTCAAGGGGCATTGAACTGATTTCCCATAAACTGGAGTGGAATAAATAATATGATTTGGTTTGATTCATGACTCCAGAAAAGGATCTGCTTGGAACGGAACACAGGAATAACAGGGCTCAGTTCTCAGGCTGGTGAAAGGCTGTTCCGGTTGACAGCTTATGTTAACAGCTTCTGTGCTGGGAGTCTGGCAAAAGGCTTCAGGGAAACTGTCTCTTTGCTTTCATTCATATTTTATATATGCTACATATACACACAGAGAACAGTGCATGTATTAGCCTGTAATTTTCTGTCACAATCACGATCATCACACTATGTATGTGAGCAGGCATGGCTAAGAAGGGATATTTCAGATCTTAATTTAATAGTCTCCATTCCCATGTTCTGGTGAGGAGATCTGAGGAACATTACCTTACAATGTTAAGCAGTGTTCCCTCTCATACAGCAGATACCACTTCCAGTGCAAATACATGTGCTTACAAGTTTAATGTTAGCTGTCAGTAGGTACTCAAGCATGAAAAGTTAACATTTGCTTTCTATCAGGATTCACGTGACCAGTGCTCAGTGGCTTGAGTGTTGGAGAAAAGCAAGTACAGAAGGTCCTTGACACAAGAGTAATAAAGCTTTTAAATTTAAAATAAAGTTTTACAGATGTTTTGGCATCTCCCCAACACAATTTAAAGAAAATAACAACAAAACCAAGCAAATAGGCAGGTAGTTAACCAATTAGAAATGTTTTTCAGTTGCACATCAGTTCAAGGCATATTCATCTGGTAGCTGACTGAAAGCCAGAAATAGCTGATGTTGCATACTGTGATTCTGCAGACATTGCTCAGTAGCACTCCCACTAGAAAATGCAGAAGGATCCAAGGCTGGTTATATACTTGTTTACAACAGAATTTTAGGAATATATGAAAACAACTGGGTGATTCCACGAGGATTCAAAAGTTCATAAACATATACAATGTCAGATCCAACATAACATTTAAGCCACAGAAACCCCAAATCCCCATATTGAACCAGCTTTCATTTTCAATTGCTCAGAAATTTTTCATGTTGCAAGCTATTAAAAAAGTTTTAACTTCATAAACTGAATGTGGAAGTTTTCAAAGTTCTAACGTTAAAAATTCAACAATTAAAAATTGAATGCCATTCAAGTTTAAGACTGGCAGCCAAATGTGAGATGCAGGACTTTAAGCTGGCTGCAAGTACTCAAGTGAAAGTCTGAGAAGTTACAGCGAACGGACTTATTTAAACATTAGCTCAGTAGTGGTCATAAAAAGGAAATGAAAGGTCAGGAATGCTGGAGCTGAAAGGGTGGTGGTCAACACTTCAAAGACTAACAGCAGCTGGTCACAAGGAACATTCTTCAGGGGCTACTCCTTGGGCTGTACTGTGTAGCATTGTCATCAGTCACTAACACAGAGCATACTCTCGCCAGCCTCACAGGTGACACTATACTGTGGGCAGCAGTGGGATACTGGAAGGCAGGGCTGCCATTCAGGGACACATCAAAAAGTTGAAGGAATGGGCCATCATGAGCCTCGTGGAATTGAAAGACCCCATACAAAAATACAGCCTGGGAACCGTTTGACTAGAAACCAGCTATGCAGAAAGGGAATTGGGAGTCAAATTTAGGTGAGTTCAATCACCTACTGGTCTGCACTAGCAAGAATGTAGCCAGAGGGTCAAGTGCACTTGAGAGGTTACATCTGGAGTACTATGTTCAGATTTTGGCACTCTGGTATGAGACACATTAAGAAACCTTTGAGACTCTAGAATAAGGGCCTTAATACAGTTAGGAGTTGGAGAAAATGGCACAGAAGATGCTGAAGGGAAGGCTGGGGTGGGATCTAATTGCAGTCTTCCATTACCCAAAAAGAGGTCATGGAGAAGATGGATTCAAACTCTTTCCCAGAGCATGCAAGGATGAGATGCAATAGTTTAAAAGGTTCTATGATGGAAATTATTGTTAGATATGAAGAAAAGAAGAATAATGCAGTGATTGGAACAGGTACTCAGAGTGCTTGTGAAATCTTTATCTCAGGAAATTTTGACAAATCAGATGGAGAAAACCCTGAACAGTCTTATCTAACTTTAAAGTTAGTCTAGCCCTGATCAGAAGGTTGGATTGAATGGCTCCAGATGTCCCTTTCAACATAATTTTTTCTGCAATTACATGAACTATCAGTAAAAGACAAGTGACCATGGTAAAAATAATATTACTCCACCATATAAATTCATTTACTTATTCCTAAATTACAATGAACCATTTGGCTCCTGGTCTCAAGAAGGGGTATTTTAGAACTAGAAATAGTTCCTTCCATATAGGTAGTTGCATTAGGACCCTTTGGCTTGAAAGACATAATACTTAGAAGATAGCATGATGAGGTTACAACATCATGAGTGCCATGAAAAAAGTAGATAGAAATAATTTTTTCACTTTTTCCTTATACAAGTGTGAGGAGCTATCAAACAAAGCTAGAAAAAACAGGTTTAAAAACAAAACAAATGGTGGTTCTACATGCAATGAATGGTAGACTGGTTGAATGTTTTTCAAACAAGGGCACACCATCACCTTACACTTAAAAAAATTAAGTACATTGAAAGCTACTAAACAAACACACAACATGAGGCTCAGGAATAGTGAGCTAAAAAACAGAGGCTAGGAGAAAGATGGATTAGAAATATCACAGATGTTTCTCTTATTCTTATTCTATTCTACCACTGTTGAATGAAGGATACTAGGCTAGATAGATCCTTGGCACTAACCAGTGCTGTCATTCTTATGATAATGCCCTGCAAGGTTCCTAACCCTGTCCCAGCCATACAATCACAATTCTGCAACTTTTGAGTTTTAGTCTTCCTTAAAAAGAATTATCTTTATGAGAGATTCCAGTAATGCACACACATGCATGGCAGCTGGATGTCTTACAAAGAACCTGAGACATGGGTAGTATTTTGGCAACATGTTCTGTGATCTCAGACTATCAAATTTATTTACATAGATATTCTTATATAGCAGAATTACTTACAGAAATGAATGTGAAACACCAAAAGATGCAGCCACATGAACAAGCTTGATAGAGATGTGCTGGTTTATAGGAAACAGGGATATATCTGAGACATAATTTAAATCAATAAACCCACCACTGACTTGCATACTGCCACAACAGTAAAAAAATCACAATAGAGGGTGTACCCAACCAACCTTGTAGATAGACATAATCAAACATGGTTAAACACAGGAAGCAAGTCAAAAAGATCACAACAAGTACTGGATTGCGCAAAACCAGAGCTCACGTCAGTTGTGTTAATATACAACTGTTCCCACTTCTATTTTCCATGATAGTATGATCAGGGAAAGTTGTTTGTTATAGATGAATAGAGCTGATTATCGCCAATTGCAGATGCACTAATTAACTCAGTTTTATTTGTTAAAAAATTCTAGTAATAATCAATTCCAAAGATTTGAGCAAGCATATGCAATCTGACATTGTTTTAGTCAACATCAGAGGAAAGTGCAGCATTCCTTTCTGGAAAGTGTTCAAGGCCATGTTGGATGGAGCTCTGAGTAACCTGGTCTAGTGGAATGTGTCCTTGTCCATGGCAGGGGGTTTGGAACTAGATGGTCTTTATCCAATCCAAACCATTCTATGATTCTATGTCTCTATGGAAAATGAAGGGAGGAGAGGGAAATGAACAAGAACAAACATTTGGCAGAGGAAAGTCTACCTAAAACAGGCCACTTTTCAATCTAAGCAGCTTGCTAATCACCTTAACTATCCTGACAATTCAGACAATGAGCATTTAGAGTTCAACCCATAAAACAATATTTAAATAAGAGGTGAGAAATTGTACCACAGCTCTTTTATATGTAAGTCAGGGAGGTGATGATTGCACTTTATAGTAGAAAGAAAATAAAAAACTTGCCCAGATATACATTGTCCTGGTTTAAGCATGCAAAAGTTGCCATTGAGATTCAAGTATAAGTCTGGAAATACCTTTACTTCATCTGTAACAGCACTGACAACATAGGCGCAGTTGGGAGTTAAACAGGGAATTATTACTTTGCTGTTGTTATATGGCAGTTAGGTTATGCCAGCTTTTACTTTTCAAACACTTATGAGCCAGAGACTTACAGTAGAGCCATAAATATTTTCTCCCATCTAAAACTAAGCTCTGTCTTGAGGTCTTATCCCTTTCACCATTTCTGGACAAACATGCACCAAATTGGTCAGTTATGCGTGTCTGAGAAGAAGTTTGTAGCACTGAAAAGTTTTTAAAGACTTTTATCTTGGAAAAAAAAAAATACAGTTCTGGCATGAAAAAAGGCCCTTGGCAAGACATAAGCCCATAGTCTGCTCCACTATCTGTTAGCATTTTGGAAGAGAAGCAAACAGTCTAGTTAAGCTACTGAGATTTCTATAATCGCAGTATCATTTTCTTCTCAAATCTTCTGAGGGGAATTCAGAACCCAGGATAGACACAGAAATTTATTGCTCTCAGAAAAAAAAAAAGACTTTTTTTCTTTTTTTTCCTTTTAAACTGCTTGTGCAGAAATGGGTATGAACTCTCATTTACACTCTATCAAACTTATCTGTTGTCTCAGAATTTAGCAAACCAAGTAAGGTTTGACCTAGTGTTCATACCCCGATAAGTTTTGAGCCAGATACTAATTCAGTAAGTTGATCCTGTAAATATCCTTGAGATAAGTAAATACAAAGAAGCAAATGGAAGTTATTTAACTTTATATTTACTGCATGTTGTCTTGCTTTGCCTTTCACACCAGTTTGGTATAACTCTAGGCGTTGCGACAGAACTGCACTAGGTCTTTTGAATCAACTCTGCTTCTGCAATGCTCTTTTATTCTCCGGGTTATCACATAGCAGAAATAAAACACAATGGAATAAAACACTGCAAAATCCTCTCATCTCTCAGTTACCTACAGGACCACATCCTCAAGCTGATGACATCCATTTAAAATATGTCTTCTTTAATAAAATCACATCAAATTAAAAGACAGAACACAAGAGACACTAAGCAGTAAATGCAGTTGATGTTATACTATTAATGGGACAAAAAGTTGAAGAATCTCACTCAGCAAGAGCAAGATCCAGTGCCTAGTGGACTTGATGAGCAAAATCCTGTGGAGGACACGGAAGGCACAGAAACCTATGTCTGCTGGACAACTTACTAGTTTATCTCTGTTTAATAATTAATGTTACTTCACGTATGGAGGAGGTCACTTGAATAAGACACCTCACTAAGTCTGTCTGTCTTTTCACTGGTCTCTCCCTAAACTGTGCTCCTTCATTCACAGTTTAGAGGAAAATTAATTATCAGTCAATGGAATATAAGTCCCTGACACTCTGCTTGTCATATCATTGTCCTTAACATATTGGATTTAGGGGTTTGGGGAAAGATCTGAATTCAGTGACCCCACTCACATTCTTAAGATCAATTATGTACAGGCTTTACTGTATAAGTAAAATTATTAAAATTAAAAGCCATATTATTTGGTAGCTTGGAAGATTAAATCTGTTTGTCAGAAGCTGTTTTTCCCCTTCAGACACAGAAGAGTGAGTCAAAATAACACAGAGGACGTAAGATGACCAAAGGTGATCTGAGCTGACTAGAAAAATGTACCTAGACCAATATGCTATGTTTTCAAAAAAACACAAACACATGTAAAAGCGTATTTAAGGAAAGAGGTTAAGAATAGATTCTCTAAGATATTTCCCCTTCATCTCCAACTATTATTGACTGTAAACCACTCAACTTCATTTATGTTCTTTAGAATAGCAACCAGAAGTCCTGCAGGTCCTGAAATTCCCTCAGAAGATGATAGAGAATATTTCCAAGCATTTTCTTTGCAAGTTGGATGCAGAACAATTCCTCTTCTAGTAATGATTGATATGACAGTTCCTGAATTACAAAAGACCCTGTTGCATCTTTGTCAAAGTTACAGCAAGAATAATAGCTAAAATAAACAGGAATCTTTATTTCTGTCATCATTATTCTGTGCCTTCTCACATGAGAGAACAACATAGATACCTGTATGACTTTCACTGCTTCACAGACTTGCTGTCCTGAGTCTTTTTGCCAGCCTACAGATGCTACTCCTTTTTAGTTTCATCTAGTCTCATTGTGCTTTTCAGCAGTTGGTGGTATGTCTAGTTGGCCCTCCACTTTCTGACAATCATTAAGAATTTTATAAGTAAACAAATGTGTGTTTGAGAGCCTGGTATTAATGGGCTCTGAATTTGATTCATAATAACTAATAGGAACAAATTACAACAAAAATGCCATGCTACAGAGACCAGAAGAATTTTCAGATAGTAGTCACATTGGTACCAAATATCATTTAGACACCAAATAGGAATTGGTGGTCCCTGGATGAATCAGGGCCAAACCATCTCCAGAATGTAGATGCCACAAAGTTTGAATGCAACTGTCTAGTTCAACAGTGAACAGTTTAAAACTGGAAAAAGAGAAATAACACTGTGCTAGCAGTGACTGCAAGGCAGCTTAGACGAGCAAATGTAATCACTTGTAAATCTGGCTGGAATACTGGAATGAAATGTCTCAGGGTTTACAAAGAATGCCACAGGATCCACAGGGACAGAGTCCCCTTAGAGGCCCTGTTTCACATGTTCATCATCACACAGAAATGCAGTGAAGAAACACACACATAATTACTTGCAATCGCAAAATTCAGTGATTTAGATAAAAAAATATTTACCTGGAAAACTAATAACAGCAGACAAATATATAGGTGCATTATCTTATTAAAATAAATAATTTTTACTGCAGAAATTGATCATTATTTTACCAATGATCAGGGTTAAAATCTTACCTCTTTTCCAGGTAACTTCTTTCCTTATATTTTCTTGGAGTTTCTAAGTTGCTGACAGAATATTCTGTGCAGAAGTTAGAAATTACAGAACTACATTTTTTGTATTTTTATAAAAAACAAGAAACAGCTTTAGAGTAAAGGTTACACTTTATCTGTCTGCCACACTGCAGAAGAGGTAATGAGGACTGTCAAATAAACCATCTCATTTCCCCCATTCTCAATAATGGTTTATTACAAATCCTTTTCTAGCATGAAACAATTCTGTGAAAAATAAACCAAG